CACACACACACACACACACACACACACACACACACACACACACACACACACACACACACACACACCGCAACGTTCTATAGCACCATTTCTGCTTTTTTCTCTTCATGAGGTTTTCCATTTACGTATCATTAACTTTTCATATCTGCTCCTACACACACACACACGCAATCTTAACCAAAAACCATGCCAATGTCTTTGAAGACGTTGGGATTTAATTGCCCATAGACAATTTGGCTTTGTTGGAAGAGAAAAATGAAAATCAGTAAATCATAATTAAATATGCTTGAAGACACACACACACACACACACACACACACACACACACACACACACACACACACACACACACACACACACACACACACACACACACACAACATCACTGGCGTTAAATTCGCTTTCTCACGACGACGTTAACATACAAGACATTTTTAATTCATCACATAAAAGTGCTCAGTGGTAATGGCGGTCATGTTTTTCCTTCTAGTATAATTCTTGTTATTGCTTTGTTTCTCTTGTTAATAAAAATACTCGTTATGTGGTAAAAGTGTAATTGTTTTTACTCTAAGAAGAAAGTAAACGATCATGTCTGTGGTTAACAACCCAAGTAAATACTGTCCCTGTCGACATAATGTATCCTTAAGCGTTGTTTGTTTTTTGATGTTCATTCTTCCTCCAGTTATTTTCTGATTTTAAAGTGATATATGTTCAAAATGCCACTTACTCACGACTCAAATGTTAAATTCTTTGAGTTTAAAACATATCCTTTTAAAAATACCAGATGCATATATTCCTTGTGTTTTATTAATCCTTGTATCATGTAGTGTTTTGCTGTTCTGATGCATTTTTACATTTTTAATTAATTGATTGCAATGTGTGTTAATTGTCCATCGCACATTCAATACAAGTAAAATATACAAATGGCATAACATAACTAAATTAAAGCAAAACTGCATTTTTCCATGTCCAGCAAGGAATCATTGCATCAAGGTCTTTAGAGTAGATTTTTCCCGATCATGAAGCTTTGGTGTTTCCTCCACACTTGCTTTATTGGCCTGACACAACATTTGTTAGACAGAAACATGTATGCCAATTTTATATGTCCGATATAATAAAACCCTATTTATTTTCTAATTTCAACAAAATGTATTTGTATATTATTATTAATTATTATTTCAATGTTATTACATTTAATTTCATTATTATTATTATTATTCACTATTTATTATAATAAATAATATTATTAATTGTATTATAACTCAACATATATTTAATATATTTTAACAGTATTATTATTTATAATAATTCGGATTTCATTTTTAAATAATTATGATATTATTATTATGAATATTTTATATATTTCTGTATCGTGTTTTTCAAATCATATTTTCTTTTTACGTTAAGAATATATATATAATTTGAGATTTTTCCCATCTGTTTTCAGAAGTTATGAATATCGGCATGTAAAGGATGTGTGTGCCTAGTTATATAAATAAATAAGAAGCGTGTTAATCAGAGCTTCTTCAGTGATTCTCTATCTGCGATCAGAGTCACAGATTTTATGTGAAGTATGATTGAGGAAGCACATAACGACGCTGCATTAATGAAGAAGAGGAGTCCCTTCAGAAAGGAGCATCTATTAACAAGCAGCTTAATAATGTGAAGCTTGAGTTAGTCTCTGAAATATGAATATTAATCATAACCAGTGTGCTTCATCTTAAGGGTCTTCTCAATTACATAAAGGAATATTGAGTGTGAGCTAAAAGCATCATGTATTTTTCATCTGGTGTGTTTACTCCATCTGCATTCCTGCCAATTAATTTATGCTAATCTCAGAAAATCCATCGGCAAACTGAGATTCCCCGACACAAGGTCAGACACACAGGGAGGCTTCCCTGAGCTTCACGGTAAAAACAAACAAATATAAACCCACACACACACAAACAAACAAACACCCCCCCCCACAGACAGACACACACACACACTGAGAGGAGTGAAGATGGGGGGAAGGAAACTGAAAAGTTGACCTAAAAATTCTCTTTTCCCCCGAGGGCTTAGGGAGGAACGTTGAAGAGGAAAGAGTGGGCTAGAGTTTCTGATTTATCCGAGGACAATATCGTGCTCCTAATCAGAATGTGACCCAATGCAGTACATAAGGGTTTGGGTGTCAGTGTTTACGCTGTTAATGAAAAGGGGGGTCGTGTTTCAGGCCACTTTGCAGACTTAAATGTGCAGCATGAGTCAAAAATCAGCACTGGAGTATCCAAGCTAAATGTGAAAAAGCTAAAATAATCAGATTCTTTACAAAGAAGTGAAAACCGGTGCATTCATTTTCCACTAAAGGTATTTTCTAGTAACTTGTTCAATGTGCTTTGTGTGATTTCAAGACACTGATACTTACTCTTGAATAATTTGTCTTCGGACTGTGTTGGAGACGTTTTGAAATAACCAGCATGTTTTTTATGGAGATTTTTGCAGAGTAAAGACTAAATGCACACATTTTCTTCTGTGTCAGAAAGTCAAACATTCAAAAGACTTCTACAATAAACGACACAAACAGGTTATCTGTCACATAAATAAACGGTTTTAGCATGCGACATTTAAAAGTGGAAGACAAAGAAATGGAGAGGAATTAAACCACTGAATATTAACAAGACAAAACTAGTGGATGGTAAAAAAGGAATAGAAGAAAAATGGATCTGACGGGACAAACAGAAACGGAGCGGAGCCGACCAATACCTTTCCTCCTTGCTGCAGTTAGCGTTTGTGATATCCAAGCTTTTACTGAACACAGATTTGCTAAAAAGGGGGCAGACAGAAAAAACCGAGAGACAAACAGAAAGGTTGTCACATAAGGGGAGGCTAATGTTGATCATGCATCAAAAACAAACACTAGAAAATAAAAATAAAAACACAAAAAAATAAAAGGAAACACAAGAACTCATGCACAGGTCCAGAAACCAGGAGGTGGAACACGTTCATGGGTCATGCATGAGCCCTTTCATTTATTTAACTATTGTCGAGCAGCAGCTAAAAGAGTGAACCTCCTCTCATATTAGAAAGGTAACACAAACAGCTTCCTCCCACCTGCTGATGCCAAAGTGTGCTGGTTTATAATGTCCATTCATGCTCAAAATGCAAAACCTATGTCCTGATAGGCAGTATAAACAAAAGACACATGCCTTATCGTACGCTATACATTTGAAAGACTTTTTTCACGTGAATGAACAAGATGCTGAAAAGCTTGTTTATGCGTTGGAGTCTTTATAAAGGTCTTCCCTTGTAGACCGAAAACTCACCTGTTTTGACGGCATCTTTTCCTAACACAAATAAAGAACTCTCTTCTGTACGTAGCATTTACAAAGGATTTGGCTTTAAATGGAGCTAATGCAGTAGCACTTAATCTGGTTGGGTGATAGACAGGAAATGTACCTGCAGGATTCTTGCTTTTGAGTTTGTTTCTTCATGGTTGAATGCACTTATTGTAAGTCGTCTTACAGAAAGTAAATTGAGAAACCACGGGTTCTTTAGGACTACGCTGCCAGGATTTGAACAAGAAAAACCGAGCACTTTAGCGGTTTTAGCTTCAGTGCATTGCCCTGTATCTTTTAAAAAGTCCCTATTTAAAATAATTTTCAGATTCATTTTAGTAGACTCTCCTGGGACATGTCTCCATGCTTTAATGTTCAAAAAGCTTTCTCATACTGCCTGTTGTGATTGGTTAACAGCTAGGAGCGCTAGCCAATAGAAGCATGAGTGTTAGTGATGTCACGATGTTCCAGAAGTAAACAAAGGAGTCCAAAGGAGGCGCTTCAGGCCTAAATATCAAACTATCAAAGCACTTTGAGCTGCATCCTGTGTATGAAAATATCTCTTGATTATTATTATTATTAAACAGGGATGCTTCTTCCCCTCTTTGACTGCATGCTCCATGCACACTTATACATACACCACGCACAAACCTGAGTCCTGTTCATGCATTTTAACCCTTTTTTAAGGATGTTTGCAGATCTAACCGCCCTCTGAACAGGAGTTAATGTCAGGTCTCAAACTTTACATCAGCAGCGACAGAGCCAGAACGATGCGTCATGTTTTAACTGCAGTTCGGTGAAGGAGGGAAGGATTTAACAGTCGGGGAAGTGGACTTTTAATTTAAAAAACAACGGGTTATTTCCTCCCTTAATTTCTCCGAACTGAGGTTAAATACATTATTTAACCCGACAGCCATCTTTAATGTGTGCATGTCTCACCTCTGGCCGTGGGTTGCCATGTCGATGGCTCTTCGTACGGGGACCGGGGACCCCCCCTCCATGACGCACAGCACCTCCATGGACTTCCTCTCCGGCCTCCGTTTACCGTGCCGGCTCAGCATCGGGGAATCCACGCGCTTCCTCGGAGGGTCTGCTGAGCAACGGCAGGTCGAAGGTCAACAGAGGGAAGACAAATAGGAGAGAGAGTAGTCAGAAAACTGTAGCATCTCATTATATAGGAAACATTTTCTGAAAATATTGGAAAAATGCCCATAAAAGTATGTCAACGTGTCTTCAGAATTATGTAAAACATTTCTAAAAAGTATGTGAGAAATGTTGAAGTATTTTGGAATTTCTTTTTGAAATGTTGGAACTAAATATGTGAAAATAATGTCTGACAAACACTCAGAGAATATGTAGAAAATGTCCAAAGAAGGTGGAAAAATGTCAGAAAATTTACTAAAATTGTGTTAAATACATTGAAATAAAATATGTGAATTAAAGTTTGGAAAATATGAAAAAAAATTACTTCTAGCAAGTACAAAAAAAAACATTTCAAAATGTTTCAAATGAAAGGTTTTGAAAGCTTTTTCCCGCAAAAGTATTCAGATTATTCTTTGTTTTAAAGTGTCCAAATGTTAGTGAAAATTGTCCAAAAAAAGTTTGGAACAGATTCAAAAACCTTTGTTGAAAATGTAGACTTTCCAAAGAATTAAGTGAAACATTGAAGAAAAGTGACAGCTACAAACTTCTGAATGTCAGCAGATAAATGTTATGTTGTGGATTTCCTCCAGATAAACCTACCGATCTCGGTGCGTGCCGGCAGGTTCTGGTCCTCCTGACTGGGATACCTCTCCTTTCGGTCCAGCAGCAGGAAGTAGATCATCTTCTCCTGGTTTTCTCTGCAGAGAGGAGAGTGAGGGTCCGTTAGTTAAGAACGGGACAGGGAGACAAACTGTCATCAAACTGAGAATAACTCTGGAGATTCATTCATTTGTCTGCTCCTCTCCCTATGAGAACAATGTCCTAATAATATACAACAAATATTTCAATTTTAGAATAATATATGAAAATGCAAGTAAATAAAGAAACTTTTAATCAGACTAACAACAATTTTTTCCCCAAAAAATATGTTAAAGATATTTGTAAATATTTCGATAGTTTCGCAGAAAAGTCGCAAAATGTCCACAACAATAAGTGGAGGACGCTTGGATGTGATATGTTTAAAGTATTGATGGAAAAGTTAAAAAAAGTCAATAAATAAATAATAAAATAAACGTAACTGCAGCAAAATAGAACCTCAAATGCTAAAAAACAAAAAGTCTGAAATGTTTCAAAAAATAGGTTCAAAATCTACAAAGAAATAAAATATGTGAAAAATTTCACGAAACAAAAATGTAAAGAATGTGCAAATACAAATGAAATCTGTGCTCTTCACTCACTCCTCCGACAGCATGTCTTTGAGGAGCTTCTCCTTGTCTCTGAAGCAGCCGAGCGAGTGCATGCTCTCCAAGACGTCCGGGTCGATCTCCTCGGCCGCGGCCAGCGACCGTATGGCCACCTTCCTCGGGACGGGCTGCTCCGGCTCGGGCTCGTTCTTCCCCGCTCTGCAGCAGGAACAAAGAAAACTAAATCTGAGTGGATGTAATATAGATTTTGGATTACAACAGAAAATAATCTCTGCGTCAAACAAACGTTTATGATAGTCACAAATTTAGTTCAGCAGGATAATCTCCACATATTAACACCACTTTATGATTTCTGAAGCAAAATGCTAATGTTGGGCTATAAAGGAACTACAGCACGGTCACATGACTTCACGTCACCACCGCTAAGCTAAAGGAGGCTAATGTTGGGCTATAAAGGAACTACAGCACGGTCACATGACTTCACGTCACCACCGCTAAGCTAAAGGAGGCTAATGTTGGGCTATAAAGGAACTACAGCACGGTCACATGACTTCACGTCACCACCGCTAAGCTAAAGGTGGCTAATGTTGGGCTATAAAGGAACTACAGCACGGTCACATGACTTCACGTCACCACCGCTAAGCTAAAGGTGGCTAATGTTGGGCTATAAAGGAACTACAGCACGGTCACATGACTTCAAGTCACCACCGCTAAGCTAAAGTCTTACTGTTTCATACTGTGTCAGAAATAATCAGAACTTCCACGTAGGAGATTTTGAGTACTTTGAGCCAGTTATAATCCTGCAGACAGATGTTGTCACTGCGATAGCTTCAAACTATGCAAGATGGAGTCACACAACTTTAAATAGGTGTGGTTGTGATGAAAAGGAAAGGAACGTTTAAAGGTGGGCCTACTAGCTTGGTCTTTTATTCTTTGTTTAGTTTCCTTCAAAGTGCCTTCATTTATCATTCGCTGATAATATTTGTGTTTAAAACTTTTTTTGTACTTTTAATCGGGCTGTTTTGAAGACAAAAATGATGCATCTGATATATCATATTCCAATTACTTGTATAAAGACTCTCCCTGCACTATTTCTATTTTAATTATTTTATCTGTGTTATTGTGTTGCACTGTTGGAGGAGCCTGTGACCTCAGATGTGTATTGATATATCTACACTGTAGCTATAGAGGAGAATAAAAGCCTTGAATCGTGACACTTGAGGGAGTGACATGTCTGTCTCAGGCTGCATACAGTATTTGCAGACATCCTCTGATCCTCTGCTCTGATACTCCCTTTCTGTCTCTCCTCAGGGCTCGTACTCTCTCCCTCAGTCGGACTTCACCCTCCCCACCGTGGAACTCCCTTATTGGCTGAGCAACGGAAACTACCGGGTGCAGGGGGTTCTGGGAGCAGAAGGCAAGGAGCTGGGCTGCCTCAAACTGGCTCTGTCCCTTCACTCCGAATGAACCCAAAACTCACTCAGCTTCATGTTCGTTTGCACAAAAAAGAGATTCAAAATTGGGAAAGCAGAAGTTGCACAAGGTCGTGAACCTGATCGACCTTTACAGGGAGCTGAAACACATTTTAACCTGAGGACAAAGAGGAAACAAAAGAGCACAGGTATTAACGCTGCAGTAAGTATTCAATTTAAGGAAGATGAAATCAAATCGGACTTTTTTCTCTGAATTATGATAAAAAGTCAGAATTCTTAAAAAAAAGGCAGAAATCTGAAAAAATAAATAGTTAAGACTTTCGGAAAAATCTGAAAAAATAAATAGTTAAGACTTACGGAAAAATCTGAAAAAATAAATAGTTAAGAGTTTCGGAAAAATCTGAAACAAATTCTGATTTCTGGGAGAAAAAATTATTCTGACTTTTTCTCAGATTTTTTAAGAAAAGAAAATCTTAATTCTTCAAAAATGCCAAAATACTGAGAAATCATTCTGACTTTTTCTCAGAATTCTTTAAAAAAAAAAGGCAGAAATCTGAGAAAACTATTGTTCTTTTTTATTCAAAAAATATTTTTAAAAACACAGAATTCTGAAAAAAATAGCCAAAATCCTGAGAAAAAAACAATTTAAACATTTTTTACATTTTGTTTCAGAATCCTGAGAAAAAAAGTCAAATTTCTGAGAGAAAGAAATATTCGGACTTTTTTTTTTTATTCTGGAACAAAGTCTAATTTCAGATTCTCTCGTGAGGACAAAGAGGGAAATAAAACAGCACAGTTATTCCTGCTGCAGCATTGAATTTAAGATGAGAAGCATGCTGTTTAATTAACGGTGAAAGACCCCCTTTAAATGCATTGATGTCATTTCCTTAAATTCAACGTATTCAACATCAATATGAACAGTGACGGTCTGAGAAAACAGGACGCATGTTTTATACTTACACACAAATGCTGCCTACTGCATGAAAGGGAAGCTTTCCTCTGTTCAAATCCACTAACTGCAGCCTCTAAGAACAACATGGCAGCTATTCACGATTGCAATAGTCTACAAAATGTTTTAAAACAACTCATTTGGGAGGTATGGAAGTCAGTTCTCTCCACTGTCTTATAGGAAGTGAGCTTCAATCAAACGTATGTCCTTTTTTGGAAATGCTAACACATGAATATATGTGGAAATCAACTTATAATTGAATATAAGCAATCTTTATTTCAAAACTAGCAATTTATGTTTGACCACCAATGGTAAAAGTCAAAAACAGACGGACATAATGCCTCGATTTTAAATCATTTCAATATTAAATTACCTTGTAGAGTCCAGTGATTGACTTTAAGGGCGTTTCATGGGTTTTTGTTAATTACCGTAATTTTCGGACTATAAGCCGCACCTGAATATAAGCCGCAGCAGCGGCATACCACTCTCGGTTCCACTTTTACTTTTGCGCGCTACCTGTCTCACTCTTTCCCGACCTCCAGCTTTTCCTGCTGGAACCCGCCGCTTAAAGGTGGGGGTCCGCGGACCGGCCATAGAGCCCATAGAGTTAAAGGTGTTGGCCGTTAGCTGTAAAAATCCATAGATTAGCCGCACCGTTATATAAGCCGCAGCGTCGAAAAATAGGGAAAAAGGCGCGGCTTATAGTCCGAAAATTACGGTATTCCTACTGTTAGAAGATGGATCTAGGGTTGAAGAGTCATTCCAATGTGCCAAATTACTATTTTAGTTTTCACAATTGTGTTTAGAAACATTGCAAGTTTATTTCTGGTCATTCGCAAAAAAAAGGTTTTGGTCAGATCAAATGTTTTTTTTGTGAAATTCCAAAATCTGAAAAAATAGCCAGAATACTGAGAAATCAATAATTCAAAGTTTTTTCTCGGAAATCAGAAAATAAAAAAATATCTGAATTCTGAAAAAAGGCAGAAATCTGAGAAAATACTTAGTTTTTTTTTATTCCGGAAAAAAAGTCAGATTTCTGAAAATAAAAATAGTTCGGACTTTATTCTCAAAACTCTGAACATTCTTACTTGCTGTTTCTTCTCAACTCCGTGCTTCCTTGTATAAATTGATTGTGTATTCATGTTTTTATAGGTTTAAATGGTTCTGTTGGAAAAAGGGTTTTTCAGAGACTATGAGTAAAAGCTCTGCTGGGAATTAATCATCTTAAGTTCATAGATTTAGTGATTTTATTTTATGTTGTTCATCTATGTATGTTTGCTAAGTGCCTGATTAGATATAAAGGATAAATCACTGTTTATCCAATGAATACAATCTTTTACTGATATGAGTTATTAGTTTGATTTAATGTTTGTTTTCTACAGTTTGGAAAAATGACAATGATGAATTATGTTTGTGAATGATTCCACTGTAAACATTTTCAAAATAAAAATAAATTCTTCCGACATTTACAAGCCCTTCCTGTTATTAACACGCCTTCTACTTATTATATTTAATAAAGAATAATGAGGTACATTCCCTCATGGGAAGACGACCCATGATTAGACTTTTTGAGCGAGTGTGTTTCCATCAACCTGGTCTCATGACTCCACCACGACCCCTTAACACTGCAGTACGTGGTGGAGTCACGTATTCTGGTGAGGCCAGGTTGGTTTCCATCCATAGTGTGTCCAACACATTTAAAACAAGGATCCTAAATTTACCAACAAGACAAGGAGTTTATTAGAACAGGGAAATGTTTAGTAGACTGTCACCTGACCTCGGTTTCAGTTTCAGACTCAGATCCTCTAAAACACGCAGGAAGTGAAGCCACAACAGTCCAAATACTTCCTGTTTTTCTTGTACTTAAAAGATCAAATTAACTACTTTAAATACATTCTACTGTAAGTTATCCCAGTACTCCTGTTCCAACTACTGCCGCCATCAATGTTTACAAGTTTAATTAATTATATGATCAATATGTCATCATTTGAAGAAGCAGAGGTGGGAGAAGTATTCAGATCTTGTTCTTGAGTAAAACTAGAAGTACTCAGATCTGGTACTTCAGCCCAAGTAGAAGTACACAGATCTTGTACTTGAGTAAAAGTAGAAGTACTCAAATATTGTACTTGAGTAAAAGTAGAAGTACTCAGATCTTGTGCTTGAGTAAAAGTAGAAGTACTCAAATATTGTACTTGAGTAAAAGTAGAAGTACTCAGATCTTGTGCTTGAGTAAAAGTAGAAGTACTCAAATATTGTACTTGAGTAAAAGTAGAATTACTCAGATGTTGTACTTTAGTAAAAGTAGAAGTACTCAGATCTTGTACTTGAGTAAAAGTAGAAGTACTCAGATATTGTTCTTGAGTAAAAGTAGAAGTACCAGAGTGTAGGAATACTCTGTTACAGTAAAAGTCCTTAATTCAAAATGTTCCTCAAGTGAAAGTAGAAAAGTATTCTCATCAGAATATAGTGAAAGTAGCGACAGTAAAAGTAGTCGTTGTGCAGATTGGTCCATTTCAGAATAATATATATGATATGTTTTATAATGATTGATCATGAAAGTGTTCTCAAAGCTGGTAAAGGTGCAGCTAGTTTGAATGACTTTGTATACTGCAGGGTAGATGGTGGATTTACTCCAGGTGGAACTAAAGTCTGATTTAACACTTGATTATATTTCACATCATTAATCCACATCTGTAAAGTAACTAAAGGTATTAAATAAATGTAGTGGAGTGTAAGTACACAGCTTAGCTCTGACTTGCGGTGGAGTGGAAGTACAAAGTAACATAAAATGGAAATACTCAAGTAGAGTACAAGTGTCTTTACATTGTACTTAAGAACAGTACTCTTGTTCTTGGTCACAGTGAAAGAGCAGCTCCATGTTTCACCACTAGGGGGCAGCATTTAGCCTGACACCTTTTTTCCAAACACTTCCGTATTCACTATGAGGCATTTAGCAGTACTCTACAAGTCATTCAAAACCTTAAAGAAGTAAAAGTAAGTACAGTAACACATTCCCTATCACTGTTATGACATGTTAGAATACATTGTACTTCTGCAGTACAGTGTGTACTCTCAACAAATATTGAGAATAATCACAAACATTCAAATCAACACATCTGGATGGAAAACTGTAATCTGAAGAGTGAACGTCATCATAGGGCAAACCATTAAAGGCAGATCAAGAACGAAAGCCTTTGTGAGTTATCATGGCTTTCTCCAACTAACCACACCACAAGTCACATCTCAAAGGTTCACAGTGTAGAAATGGCAATGACATTCTTCTGACCTGAGCTCCTCCAACAATGCAACATATCAAATACAAAAATACAAAAAGTAGTGCAAAAAGACTAAATCACATTCATACAGCGTCTAGTTATCTTTATGTTGAGAAACACACTGAAGTGTAAGAGCAGATTGTCGGTCGCTGCAGCAGCAAATTTTAACAGGAAGTGGCAAATAATTCAGAAACAAAAGCAGGAAAGAGGAATTACACTTCACTCAGTCATTAAGACCCTTCGTCTTATACCACGGTAACACTTTGCACCTTATTTACACTCTCCAAACTCGTGTATAGGAGCAATGTTATGTGTATTGTTGGCACGTCAGTTTATTTAAAGGTCCCACTGTGTTCATCAATATATTATAGTTCTCAGATACATACAGAACATGTATCTGAAGTGTTTGGCTCCAAACACCAAACAGATCATTGCTGCATTACCCATAATCCCCTCTGTTTCAGCCCTGTTTCCAAAGTGCTGATTCTCTGTCTGTTACTTTAGATGAAAATAAGGAGCCTCTCCCCAAGCCCCTCTGAGAGACATTTGGTTAAAAAGAACTAAATGGTGCTCTAGGAGGAGATTCAGGTGATAAGGGGGGGGGTTACCTTGGTTGCTGATTCGCTAACGGTTACACAAGACAAAACATCATTATGACATCACAAAGTGTCCAAAATCTGATCAGCTCATTTTCAGACAGGTTTTTATAGAAATGGATCAGGACAAAAAGAGAGAGAA